ACTTTTCTTATTTGAAAAGGTTCTCGAAAAAAATTAGATTACATAAAAACATCTTGAAAACTTACCCCAAAATATTGCTTTGCCAGAAAATAAAACATCTATGCACAGAGTAGCTTGCCGGAGCTTACCAGAGCTCTGCCAGATCTCCTTCCGAGACCGACCCCGCCAGAGCGCTCAGTCTCGGAAGTTGATTTTGTAGAGCTCTGGCGCTTACGTACTGCCGCTGCTCTCCGTGGAGAGGGCGCGTCACTGCGCAGCAGCTTGACGCTGTGCTTGTGCTCGTTGTCGCAGGTCTCGCGCGAGATGCTTCTAGAGCTCCTGGCGACACCCCTTGAGACCCTCGACGCCGACACTGCGATCGAGGTATACGCCGACCCCGACGGGGTTGGGTTCGGTTCTCTCTTTATTCGTCGTTTTTAGAATTGCGGGGGGGGTGTCTTCGGGTGCAATGGGCCAAATGCACCGGATGGAGATGCGCCTGTTATTCTTATAGATGATGACAGAGACAGACAGCGCTAGTCGGGCGATCGCAAATCGTAACGGAATACTCTGCATGTTGGCCAACAACAGGTGATGCGCTTCACCCAGGTGGTCACGTTTAAGCCGGTGCGCCTCAACCTCAAGGGATTCGTGGTGGTGAGCAGGGAGCTGTCCGTTGCGGTAAGCAGTTAACTCGTTCTCGGGGGTGCGCTTGCTGGGTTACGGCGGGACGGGGTGCTGCCCAGGCTACTGCACGAGACGAGGTGCTGCACAGGGTGCGACTGACCACCCCGAATCTTTCTCTGCCCCGCCAGAGCGCAGCCACCATCACGACGTACATTGTGGTCCTAGCGCAACTCGCCCTCACTATTTCGGCGGGCCTGTCGGCACCCTCGCCCACGTCTCGCGACCAGCCCGCCGCCGCACCGTAGTCCGCCGCCCTGAGAGCACCGCGGAGTAAGACCCGCTCCCAACGGTGCAATCAGCGCGGTGTACTGCCCGACTTGGACATTCACAGTTCATTCCTTCGCTACACTTCCCAAAAATGTTTGTGTATAACTCACTTTCAACATGCTTATGTCACTTTTCGCTCCGATCGGGTCATTCTTTCTTTTGGCTCAGGTGGTCTTGACAATATTTTTTGTCGCCGCCGCTCGATCCTATCCCGTCGCACCGCACCCGCGACAGGATTCGAAGGCCCGCGCGCCAGAGTAAGTGCGAGGCGCTAACCAGGCGAGTGCGAATAACCTGGTGATAATCAATCGCACCTCCTTAATCCCAGCACGATGGCACGACTCAGACGGGGCCGTCCAGTTTTATTGGTTGAAACGAAACAGAAATAAAAAACAACAACGAAAAGTTAACCGAATAAAACTAACTACATAAAAATATATTCATCAAATTGAATTAAAAAACAAAA